ATTTTACAAAAAGGGATTCACTGTCACGCAATTAAGAAGGAAGGTGAAAAGAAACCAACACATAATATGTGTAATTTTGCTGGGTATAGAATCTGGACAATTAAAGCAGCATTTGCCTGCTTACCATTGCTGTTCCCAATGTAGAAAATGCTCAATTACCATCCAAATAAAATCAATGACATTGAGGTCAAACTACCAGTAAACAGAGAAGCAGAAGAGCATCTACAGGAGACAAATGGAAATCTTTCTTTCACTTAAGATAGTGCCACTAGAAAAAGCTTTCAGACAAACTGCCAAAATTTCATACTGCATACTGTATTTGAAACATCTTTGTCCTTGACGATGAAGGTGAAATGCTACTGTATTTCTTACTTGACACTGTAAGTGCATTTTTATCAAGAGCAGACTGAGGGATGTTGACAATCTATCCAACTATCAATTGGTTTCCAATTCCTTTATTTTCAGTCTTCTGTTTCTTCTCAGTATTATTCAGAGTTCATAGAGTGACATTATTATATCTATTTTCTGTTTCAGGTACAGATGAGTCTTTCTTCTGTTCTTTCTTCCGTAATTCTTTCTTCCATGTGAGTATTCCCAAACCTATTGCTGACAAATTTGTTTTCTGTCTGGAGGGTTCATATGAAACGTATTATCAGAAGTATCTTGATCTTTGTTTGAGACACGAGTGTTGAGCAGCTGCCTGGCTAGCACTGTACAATGTAATGTGGAAGCATAAACTGCACCACAAAAGCCTAGTCAGGTTTATTAAAGGAACAAAAATGTTACTTAAATGATTTAAATAGCCTAACACCAGCAATTGGCAGAATTTTTTTTTTGTAACATGTTCTGTGCACAATGTTATTGATCTCCCTCAGAAACTTAAAAAATTACAAATATAATGCAACTTTTTGCTATTTAGTTGAAAACTTGCATCTTTTTATATACACCCATATGGAATTAGCAAGGAAGCTAATTAACAAATATTAACAACTGCTCAAGCAGGGCATCTTATGCTCACAGCTTGGCTGTCACAGACCCTTTTTAGATCCTGCCTTAGACACTCCATTTAGGATTGGAAGAGCAAATTCCTGCAGGTGTCTCCCATCTCAGAAAGACTGCAGAATGACCTTGGGACAAGGTCAGACTGGACACCAAACTTGTACATAGATCCACTGAAAAGCAAATTGACCCACTAGTGTTCTGCTACTTAAAAAGGCATCTCTTTGAGGTACTGCTAGAGCAGAAAGAAGCATTACCTTCTACCATATGATTATGATGTTATGCAGATAAACCAGATGTTTGTAGCCTGATATTTTATTTTCTATATTGCTGCTGCTAGATTGCAAGGATTAAGGGGGACTGTAAGAGTACTTTAACCACCAGGTTGGTCAACATTCCAGAAATATGAATTTTGGCTGTGCAGAAAGTTTCCACCCAGCAACAGACTTCTTGAAATTCCTCTATCTCAGAGATAGTACAGGGGAAGTCTGATGTATAAACTTCTTACAAGCCACTCAGAAAAAACATCACAGAAAACAGGTTGGCATGTGATAACTTTGTTTAATGTATATTATCTCATTTTACATTATAATACTACAAACCAATTTTCTTTGAAACAAATCTACAAAAATCTTCATTAATGGATCCTGAAAATATTTAAGTGAGATACTTAATACCAAAGGTATATTTGACATAAGATTTACATAATGCTCCTCCTGACAATCAGAAGATCTATTGAACATCTTTACCACAATATCAAAAACTGACCAATCGTTCAGGTGAAGGAGTATGTATTGAAAAGCTCAACTCATTCCAGCATTCACTTATTGGATTGAAAGCCACTGATCTTCTTTGGGATTCAAGGTAGCATATAATAGTTGCCATGACATGGGTGGTCCAAAGAAGGACACTTTGTTGCCTTGTTGTCTTGTTTACCTTAAACAGCAAACTGAACTCTACTTTGAAGATGAAGCTTCAACATTACCATCACTATCACATCAATTTTTAACTCCTGAATACATACCCTGTGGGGCTAGCCTTCAGATAGAGAAAGCTTCTGGTGCAGATGTAGGCTCTGCTAAAGTTAGGGGATTCTGCTCTGTAACACCCTGTCCAAGCCTGATTACCTGCTGTGTATACTAATGCAGTTCAGCAAGTATTGTACTTCTACCTTTTATTCATATCAATCTCTTTTGGTTCCCCTATTTTTAAACACACTTTTAAATAAATGTGCAGCTGATATGTGTTGTGACATTTATTAGCCATAGAACCATAGAACACGCTGAGCTGGAAGGGACCCATCAGGATCAAGTCCAACTCCTGGCCCTGCACAGGACAGCCCAAGTGTCACACCATGCACCTGACAGCATTGTCCAAATGCTTCTTGAACTCTGTCAGGCTGTGACCACTTCCCTTGGGAGCCTGTTCCAGTGCCCAACCACCCTCTGGGTGAAGAACCTTTTTCTGGTACCAAACCTCCCCCACCTCAGCTTTTTGCCTTTTCCCCAAGTCCTGTCCCTGGTCACCAGAGAGAAGAGATCAGTACCTGCCCCTCTGCTTCCCCTCACAAGGAAGTTGTAACTGCAGTGGGATCTCCGCTCAATCTCCTCTTCTCCAGGCTGAATAGACAGAGTGACCTGAGCTGCTCCTCACATGGCTGCCCCTCAAGGCCCTTCACCATCTTTGTTGCCCTCCTTTGGACACTCCCTAATACTTTAATGTTGTTTTTACATTGTGGCACCCAAAACTGCCCCCAGCACTCGAAGTGAGGCTGCCCCAGTGCAGAGCAGAGCAGGACAATCCCCTCCCTTGCCCAGCTGGCCATGCTGTGCCTGATGCACCCCAGGACACACCTGGCCATCCTGACTGCCGGGACGTGGGAGTAAGCAAATCTCCATTGTGAATGGATTTCTGACATTAATTCTGACCCCCTTTCAGGTCTTTTCATCTTATTAAATGCAAAACACTCAACCATGACCAAACTCTAGGTAATAAGTAAATTCTGTTTCTGTAATTTTTGTGTACTTCAAGGAAAAGATAAGTGCTTGAGTACATGTACATGTAGGAAGAACTAGACCTGGATACAGTGTTTTGTCTGTATTAAGTAGTTTTCAAAATTCACTATTTTTGATGTATTAATAGAACTACATGACCTCCCTTATTTTAATGTCCTAGCTACCTATAATTATTAAAAACCCCATCTAAATCACATTTTAAAACACATCAAAAGGAATTTTTCTAAATTCATTAAAATAAAATTTCTTCTTCTTTGAAATGAAAAAACAAGTAATTTTAACTGCATTCCAATATAGTGTTTTCCTTCACTTGTTGGCGTTAAATAAATATATATTAACATGTACAAAACCAAGAAATTAAATGCACATATTACGCCAAGATGCATCTAAATCCATACAGAACTGGGAAAAATGGGGATAATAACAGTGCCCTTTCTTAATCTAATATTAGTGAAGAACATCCATTCTCTCTATTGCTAGAGAAAGTCAGATGTAGTGCTCATGTAAAAATAATTCAAGGCAGAGTTCTGTTTGGACTGTGAAAATGACACATAAATTCTTTACGCATGGCCATACTGGGATTGAGTTAAAGCCAAACAAGCATCTGATTCTTGCTTTGAATACTGGTTGATTGACTGCTGTTGTAAACCATTTAATGGGACCCACATTCAAAAGGCCACTGAAAGACTGTCTCATTTTAGCAATCTGAGATGTCAGTAACAAGACAAGTTCAAGAAGACAGATTTAAACAATTGTTTGGGAAAAACATATTTACCAAATATACTGGTAAGTAGATTTTTTTTTTGTAATGAGTTATATACCAAATTCCTTAATCATATTCCAGAATAGTCTGAAAAATATTTGTAAATAGCAGAGCCTCAATTTCACCCAAATAAAAAATTTTATACCATGTTAAATGATGCTGTAATTTCTCCTTCTCAATCATTTGGACGCATATAAATAATATTTAAATGCACAAACACATACAGAAGACATTTTATATATAGTTACATACACAAAGTTAAACATAACTATGTGACATTTATTACACAAGGTAATAAATATGATAAGACAAATCTATGGATAAATAAATATGTATAAATGTATTTCATTTTGATTTTGACTGATCTGGATTTTGCAATAGTTTTGCTACATACTTTTTTCCTCTGTACTGCTTTGATTTTTTTGGCAACAATTTAGCTAAGCTAAAAAAGGTGACCCTAAGCACAAACAAAACATTAACAACAACTAGAATTTGTAAGGTACCTGGCATGTTTAAGTATTTAATTAAAAGTCCTCAGAACAATCCTCAAGACTGGTAAGCACTTCCAGCACCAATGCTGCAGCACAAAGAAGTCTCCACAAGGGAAAAACCAAATCGTCACCAAAGCCCTACACATAGTCCTGAAACCAGCACTAACTTCTAACAGTGGTATTTCTGTTCAGACAAATCAGGAAGACACAACTCTGACTTCCAGCATTGTAATAATCTAGCAAGGTGTGAGTACAATGTTTAAAGTCTAACAGTATTCTGAAGACTTATTTTCAAATCTGTGGTACCATTGCAATTCTCTCTGTACATGAATGTAGTCCAAGTAAGGTCACCTCTCTGCCATACCAGAGACATTTCATTTAGCTTTAATCATCTATAAGTACTGTGTCTAATCTGACTTAGTCACACAGCCTGTCTTTAAAGTCAACAGAGAGATGAGCAGCTCTGGGGAGTGATACATCTCACTTATCTTAAACACTCATTTTAGGATGAGAAATGGAATGGGATTCTGGAGATGGATTATTGAACATAAACTTTAGCTGTCAGTGAGAACCACTGCACAGAATTCCTGCAGAGCCAAGGCTGCGGGAGAGACTTCTGTCAGACTCCATGGATCTTACAAGAATTTACTAACACACACTCCAGAAAAAATGGCTTTTCGCACATATAACTCAGAGACGCAACTGACCAGAAGAAAATTATGATGTACTTACCAAAAACAATGGAGGACTCACAGTAGTAGTAACCATTTGGCTGCTTTTTTTTCAACATGGAGCAAAGATCAAAGCGGTGCAAGATCTCATCTCCAAAATAATGGTTTTTGAAATCTTCATACAGACTAGAGTCAATTTTTTTCACCTTTAAAAGGCAACATAAAATTCAGTTAGGCATTCTACTCAGACACTGAATTTTCATATTTAATTCCTATAGTTTGCATTTTAACCATAAGTACAGTTAGTATGGAAAAGTACTTGAAGATGCAAAAGGAATACAGAAATAATCATATGCCAAATCTTCTGTTAAAGGGAAGCACTGTCTACTGCAGAAAATAACAATAAAATAAAAGTGTCATTAGTCCTCCTTTCACCACTTCCTTTTCAGTCTTGTAGGAAACAATTAGACATATACAATGCTACCACTGCTTTAACTTCCAACGGTTTGCAACGGTGTTCATGGAATGTGTAACTGGAAATTATTCTTGCTGTTATCACTGGGCATGCTGCTACAAGGAAGAATCTCAAATGGTCATCAAGGGCAGTTTTCTGAGTCATTAAAATCAGCCCACAGGAAAAAATGGCTGTATTTCTCTAGCACTAGACCTTTTTATCTCAGTATATCTAAAACTTGCTGGGATTTATAATATTGGAATCATTATGCAGTTTTGCAAATATGAAGCAGAAAATAATAAATATTCTATTAGGCTATTTTCAGAAAACATTATTTCAGTAGTTATTTTAAGAGTCAATCCATTGCATCGTCAATAAAAATATATGATCTCTGTAAGAATTCAGTATTTTCTCCTTCAATCTACCTCCCAATAATGCTGTTTACTATTTAAATATCATTATTCCGTGCTAAGGAATACTAGGAGCCTCTAGCAGCTCCAGCCCCTACTGGTGTGTTCCCTACTGCCTGACTGCTGGAGTCCAGTCCAGCGTGTGGGAGCCTCAGTCTTTGATGGATGTACCTGCTGCTTTCACCTCTAGAGACACAAATCCCTGCTCAAAAGACATGGACGTGGCTGGCTACATGGATGCCACTGCCTTCACCAGCATCTGCACATGGGGCTCACAGGACACACAAGTGCAGGTCACTCCTGCCAGGGACCAAAGGACTTTCTCTCCATGTTCACGTTTGTGCATTCCTGAAGCATCATCATGGCCTCTCTGTCCCCCAGCACCCTTGCCCAGATTGCCAGCCTCTCACTGAGCCCACAGGTCTCTCACTTGCTGCTGGCCCAGCTTGAGGTTTGGCAGTGAACACCTGCACTCCCACACACACAGTTTGGGAAGGATAAAGACATTTGCCCCTGGCAATCAGCTGCACAGGTGCGCCCACAAGCCTCATTTTAAACAGGACTGGCCCCTTTTGCAGCCTGCACCGTCCCCTCCTCTTTTGTGTTTTTCCCCAACTTCTCCCCCTACAGACACCCCCTGCATTTGCACAGTCAATCTGCCAACCTCCTGGACCCTCAGCTTTACATCCCCAGCAGCTGCAAAGTCCTGGTTTGCCTGTGGTTTCTCGGCAGCTCATCAGTGTGAAAAGTAAAGTCTACTTTAGAGAAGGTCAAATGTCTATTCATTTCCTTAATCCCTGAAATGATGACATCTAGTGGTGGATGCTTTTTATTTCAAGAAATGGAAATTTCTGAGTCTAAATCTCTGTGGAAGTCTACATTTATTCCATCCTCACAGTAATTACTTAACATTTTATATTCTATGGCTAGACTAGTCCTTATGTACTAAGGTTATTCTGACATCAAATCATCATTCCTTGCTTTTTGGCTGACAGTTCTAGGAAATATAGTTAGACATCAATTAGTAATAAAAAGTGTTCTCAGCCAGGAGAACACTTGTCAAAATGTGAAGCCCTGAGTTCTTCTGGAATGAAATGAAGAAAAGGTAAAAATTACAACTTCACGCTCCAATAAAAAAAAAAACATTTACAAGAGATTTGGGAGATTGCTTGTCAAAGACAGGTTGCTAAGGTGTGAATCAAATGTTGAATGCTCAGGAATTGAGTTGTGCTTGTGATGCACTACTGAAAGGTATTTGGAAAAGCAGTCATGGGAAAACTATGATATTTTTAGTAACTAGAACAATTCCTGGAGCGCAGCTTGCAGTGAGATGTGAAAGGATGAAGCAATGCAGGTGCATGGGAAGGTCACGGCTCATTTCTTAACTGAAAGAGTCTGAAGCAGTAGAGATGCAAGAGAAAAGTTGTTACCACATGGGAATAGTACAGATGCTGATAATAAGTTGTAATGGGAGACGGTGAGAAACAAGAGTACTCGAAGCATTTGGTGCTGGAAGGGGAGGAGGAAGACATCTGCCTCTCGAGGAAGCACTGTAATGGATGATGCCTGTAAAGGACACGGCTGAGTAACATGGGCCTGGAGAGGCATGGCACTTGCAGGACTGCCAGAGCACCAGGAGAATGCTTTTGGCAGCCCTGCAATGCTGGTTTTCCTGCCCGTGTCCCTGGGAAGGTGCAGCCAGCTATCCCAGCAGTTGAATCCCATGCAGTCCCAGTAGCTACTGCCACAGTCAGCCTTGGGACCGGGGGCAGGAAGGCTCCAGGGGTGACAGTGCAGGTAGCAGGGACGCAAGCAGCTCCGGGCTCCGTGTGCCAGAGCCCACAGCCCAGCACAGCACTGGGTGTTCCTCCAAGCGGGGCCCGCCGGCGGCCCGAGGGTCACTCCCTGCGGCGCGTCCCCCCCGCCGGCCGCGACAAGGCCGGGCCAGGGCCGCTGTGGGCGCGGCCCGGCGGCAGAGGCGGGTCCGGGTCCCTGACGGGCCCTCACGACGGAGCGCCGAGAGGAAGGGAAAGGGAAAAGAAACAGCACAACGCCTTTGGGCTGCAGGGAGGCTCAGCCCCTGAGACGAGCTGCCCGTCTGTGTGAGGAGGGTGAGTAGCGAGCAGAGAAGTGGGAGAGGATTGGAAGTGAGGTGCTGACAGGGATTGGTATATCCCATCCCTTATGTTCTTCTATAGAAACTGGTGCTGTGTGATGCTGCAGCATAAATATGGGGCTGCGACCCTGAAATGATGGCCAGGCTCTGGGGCTGCACTGCTGAGAGAAGCCACGGTCAGTGCAGGTGCATGTCACGAACCTCTGAGGGAGGGTGATTTTGTGCATGGATATACATGTCCGTGCATGTTACTGTATTTATGGGTACCTGGGTCTACACAGACTTTAAAAAAATAAAGGATGCAAAGAAAAACTATAAAACTATTTCTGGTAGTTAGCTCTGTTACTCCTTCCTTGGAAGTGGCTGTAGTTACTGGCTCTGTCACTTGAACATTTGTAGTTAATTCCTGGTAGCATCTTAGATTCTCCAGGGTTGGAAGAGTGACTATCTGTTGACTTCCTGTTGTCAATTAAAGTTACTTCTCAGGACCTTTTGCATGAGTTGTGAATAAAAATACCTCTTGCCAACAGATGAGTGCCACATCAGCCACGAGCTGTGTCTTGCCACCGGCACTTGGGCCTGAGCAAGAGGAGCAAGAGAGCTCGGAGACACATATGTCTGTTCTGTGGTATGCAGGGCAGCTTGCAATTACTTACTATGATACAGAAGATTGCTCAGTCTACTTCATGCCCGACATACCTGATAATGAAGACCTCAAGCTACTGCAAAAAGTGATTGGGGAACTTAACCCTCAATGCATAGTGACCAGTGCAAAACAGGACCAGAATATTGCTAAATTCCTGACCAACCTAAGAGCTACTGCTGGTGATAAAGACATAAGAAAACCAGAAATTGTCCTGTTTCCCAACACAGATTTTGGTCTAGAAGTCAGCAAGCAACGGATTCTGTCTAGGCAATTTCCATTTATTCCATCTCATATGACTGCCACAGAGAAAATTCTCTATTTGTCCTCCATCATTCCTTTTGAGAGTCCACTCATGATACGAGCCTTAGGGGGGCTCCTGAAGTTTCTAGACAGAAGAAGGGTTGGAGTTGAACTCGAAGACAGCAGTATAGCAGTTCCTATTTTGGCCTTTAAAAAATTTGTGCTGTCAGATACTGTGAATATGGACCAAGACACTTACTGCGTCCTTCAGATATTTAAAAGTGATATCCATCCTTCTGTGTACAAGCTATCCAGTGGACTAAAAGAAGGATTTAGCTTATTTGGAATTTTAAACCGTTGCAGATGCAAATGGGGAGAAAAACTGCTGAGGTTGTGGCTCACACGACCTACCCGGAACCTGACAGAGCTGAACAAACGGCTGGATGTTATCAACTTCTTCCTGCTAGCTCAGAACCACGAAACAGTCCTCACTCTTCAAAACTGCCTCAAGAATATTAAAAATGTGCCTCTTATTTTAAAGAGAATGACTCTTTCCAACACAAAAGTTAGTGACTGGCAAGCACTGTATAAGACAGCGTACAATGCAGTGTGCCTTAGAGACACGTGTCGTTCTCTGCCTAACACTATTGAACTTTTCCAGACTATTTCACATGTCTTCACTGATGATCTGCACTACATTGCTAACCTGATCAGCAAAGTGGTAGACTTTGAAGGCAGCCTCTCTGAGAACCGCTTCACTGTTAGACCCAATGTAGATGCCACGATTGATGAGAAGAAACGAAAGCTGATGGGACTGTCAGACTTCCTTACAGAAGTGGCACGAAAAGAACTGGAGACTTTGGACTATCAAATTCCCTCCTGTGCTGTCATCTACATTCCTTTGATTGGGTTCCTCCTCTCCATTCCACGCCTCCCAAATATGGTGGATAAGACTGACTTCGAAATTGAAGGCTTGGACTTCATGTTCTTGTCAGAGGATAAACTGCACTACAGAAGTGCCCGGACCAAGGAGCTAGACAGCCTGCTGGGTGACTTGCACTGTGATATCAGAGACCAGGAAACACTCATCATGCACCAGCTGCAGACAAGGATCCTGGAGAAGTCTGAAGTACTTAACAGCGTGATTGAGTACACTGCACACCTGGATGTGCTGCTAGCCTTGGCAGGGACGGCCCGGGAGAACGGCTATTGCCGGCCCCGCTTTACTCACCGCCACGGCTTCCACATCAAGGACGGGAGACATCCGCTCATGGAACTATGTGCAAAGACTTTCGTGGCCAATCCTGTGGACAGCGGTGAGGCTACCAGGCGAATAAAGATCATCACAGGGCCCAACTCCTCTGGAAAGAGCGTTTACTTAAAGCAGGTAGGTCTTATAGTGTACATGGCTCTCATCGGCAGTTACGTCCCTGCAGCAGAGGCAGAGATTGGAGTAATTGATGGGATTTACACAAGAATCCACAGTAGGGAATCAGTTTCTGTAGGGCTCTCCACATTCATGATTGATCTTAACCAGGTTGCCAAGGCTGTAAACAATGCCACAGAGAGGTCCCTGGTACTTATTGATGAGTTTGGTAAAGGCACCAACACACTGGATGGCCTGTCCCTTCTGGCTGCTGTCCTGAGGTACTGGATCAGACAAGGAACACAGTGTCCACAGGTCTTTGTCTCCACTAATTTTCACAGTTTAATGCAGCTAGAACTCCTGCCTGACACACCTCTTCTGGAGTACCTGACCATGGAGACCCATCAGGATGGCGAGGAGTTGATATTTTTCTACCAGATCAAACAGGGCATGTCCACCATTAGTCATGCTGCCAATATTGCTGCATTAGCAGGAATGCCAGCCAAAATCATTGAAAGAGGAGTGGAAGTATCAGAACTGATTCGCAATGGAAAACCAATCAAACGTCTTGATCATCCTTCAAAATGTGATAGGATGGAAAAATGCAAGTCTGTTGTGGAAAAGTTTCTTTCCATAGACCTTGATGATCCCCAGGTGGACTTGGAAGAGTTCATGTCTAAAGAGATCTTGCCTTCTGCAGCCTCAGTCCTGTAGCCAGGATATGTGTAAATACACAGACTGCACCATATCTACCATGGAGAGTCTGGGACTTTAAGGAATGATCACTATGACATGACACCTCACAGGACATTTAGCTTGTAACAAACTGTCTGTAGTTATGTCCTTCCTCCTTCTTCTTCTTGTTTAAACCAAGTTACATATCCCTGCAATATGGTGCATCGTATGAGTGTATGAAGAGGAAGAATTTCAAGAGCCTCTTACAGCTCCTGCATCCCTCAGTTTGTGCATTTTCTGACCCCATTGCTGGAAGCTCAGATTAAAAAAACATACTGCAGAAAAATCACAACACATTGATTTTTCTAACACTGGTCTTAGAAGACTATGAAAGGAATGTGTTTATTGTTTCATATTGTGCCAAAGTGATGGTTTCAGCCATTTTAGGATCAGCATAAAAGATTCCAAATAAATATGTGGCTGAGACTCTTGTACCAACAATTAACAGTTGTCACAATACAAACCACTGACATAGAGGCAATGCAGAGGGATTTAATGGCTCTGTGGCTTTTCTTAAACCAGCTTTTCTGTCCAAATGCCAGAGATCCCAGGGGTTAGTTATAAAAAGAATGCTAGTGGTCAGATTCAGTGGGGACTGATAAATAGAAGTACCTTAGTTTTACTGAGAACTGCTCTCTTCTTTAAGGTTCTGTATGATACAGTTGTATCATATATTACTATGATGTCTTTACCCATGTCTTTTTGCTTATTACCCATGTCTATGCCACATGGGTATAAATGCAAAAATACAAATCTAGGAATTTAGGAGAAAAATTCACATTTTCTGTTCCATTTTCTATTATTAACAGTTGAGGATTAATACCACAAAGGGAGGATTCCCTTTCACTTCTCTTGTCATGTAAAGGATCTTTACTGAACACATTATTTTATGTATACATATGCAAGAAAAAATAGGAGCACACTATACCTCCTGTTTTTAGGGAAGTGTTCAGTGGCACATCTAATCTGAGAAATATCTGACTATGCATGAAGAACAAGTTCTGAGTAGGTCAACAAGTTCAAGGTCCCACTTCTGAGTAGGTAAATAAGTCCTTTAATTGGAGAAGCTGAAGGGGATAGTTAACCAGATAGTTCTTTCCTAATAGACTTTATTTCCCACTTCCATCCTTTATTAATATCTGTTTCCAAGTTTTTTAGATTTAGATAAGCTACCATTGTTAGCTTAATGATATGCCTTCAAAGTGAAAACCTGATTTCTTGAGATCTTTACTAGTTCTGAATTCTCAAACTCTGCTTTGTAAATACAATTTTTAACTCTGGAAAAGTTAAAATCTCTACAGAATATATATATTTCAAAATTACTACAGTTATATTAAGGTTTAAAAAACAGATTTTTTTCCCCCCAAAATAAAACTTTGGTGGAATTTGGATGTCATTGAGAGGAGGGTGACTTAACAGAATATTGTTGCAAATAAGGAAGTTCACATTTAAAAAATAAATTAATACAGTTATATAAAGCTATGGCTGAGAACTATACTCAACCACTTTAGTACTATTTGCTCTTTTATAGGCTTGCTCATGTAACCTTCATCCACTTCCCTTTTCTTGCTTTTCATATTGTTGTAAGATCTGAAAATGCAATTAGACATTGTATTAAAATGTACTGCCAAATAAGTATTCCTTTTCTGATACATATTTTTTTCTTACTGTTTTCTGTAAATGCATGAAACTATCTAAGTACAGGAACACAATGAAAGAAAAAAATATAGTAAAGACTTATGCTTATGCCTCACACTGAATTGACAGAGAAAAATGTACAGATTTTTAATACATAGTATCTTTCTATGCAGTAGATCATATGCATTAATCCAGCATTATAGAGGGCTCAGGAAGATGATTTGGAATGACATTGACCTGGTTCTGTCAGCAGCAGTGAATATCAGAACACAGAAAGGATGTATCCTGGCTAATATTTCATGGAAGGTAGATAAATGTAAATGAAACAACCAACCAGTCAAAAAACAGAAAAAATACAGAATAGCAAAAATCCCACCCTGATTGTCTCAGATCTTTTAACCAGTTAGATCACTGAAAAGCTGATATTCTAGAAGATCAACTGCCATTTCAAGCAAAAGCTTCTGTGAGTTAAAAAATTTAATATCTATCATATACCACCTGCATCCTGTGGCTAAGTCGTTGTTTCTATTTCAGAACAAGTACACATACGCTCAAATTTTCTTGATGTATGTCAAATCTCACCATCTTATTTCTACTTATTTCAAAATACTACTTAATTAAAATGTGCACCCTCAGCATTTTTAGAGATATTTCTAATTAAAATTTAAAGTTTAATTATTAACTTTAACCCACTATTAAGGAAAAATCAACTTAAAAGATTAGTTCTATGTACTTTAATTCTTACTTAAAATATTTTTTCTGAAAATTATTTTCCTAGTCAATGTTAAAGAAACACATAAGACATTCTACACAATGTCAGTAAAAAAATGTATGGACGTATACCTAGTGTTAAATAATACAGAACTACAGATAAATTAGTATGAAATAAAAAAAAGGTACACTAGTATTGCTTCTATATATTTTAACCACAGTTATATCCTATTTTCATGTATTCGTGTATTTTGTCAAAAAACCCCAAATAAACAGGCAAGAAATAACTGCTGGCAAGAGAGAATATAGAAGATATATTAAATTATATTATATACATTTATTAATATAGTTTTTCCTCATTATTCTGAAATTCACCAAAGCGTATTCAGTAGGGAACTAACTGCCTACTATGCATAATCCAAACAGAAATTCTACTGTTTATTTGCTCATTTTCTCCTATACAGTAACAAAACTCAGCAAACACACTCCCTGCATACAATCTGCCCCCTAATGGGAGTCCTGCAACTTTGAACAAGTACTTTTATCCTTCGGTCTTGCCTAATTTCCCAGCAGAAAACAGACCATGATATTACTGCACCGAGAATATCAAGAGTAGTAAATTACAGGACAGGACTGTTTATACGGCACATACATTAAGTATTTCTTTAAAAACCCAGCATTAGTCTTAACTCTTCAGCTGGTTATAACATAGCAAATATGATGCTACAGTATAAACAACACTGTCCATCTCCAAATTAAACTCTCTGGATTGCTGCTGAGTTATGTGAAATGTGAGCTCACCTGCTTACGTAGCTCCGTTGATTTTGACAACTTCATGAAGGTCAGATGTGGTTTAAAAGCTCTTTCATCTCCTGTCATGATCCCCTTTTCTTGAAATATCTTTTTCATAGTTTCTGACAGGAGGAGAAAATTGCATAAATACATAAATTACATAATATAATGCTTAAAATGCGCTTTCAAATGTAATGTTAGTCACAGGTTCTTCACATGAAAGAAACAAGATGATAAGTATTAAAAGGCAGGAAGATTTCTACTTAATTTCAAAGGTACCTATTATTTCTTCAGAGCTTTATATTATTTCATGTGAACATGGATATATTTCATGTGAAATATTTGCAGTGAAATAATGGCAATTAGAAAGCTGTTGATGCAGTCTGATTTTGCTATCAAAATAGAAACTCAACATTAGCACTGTTCAGGAGTCACTCTCAGTAGAAGTGTGGGAAACTTGAGGAAAACTGAGTGTGTAACAGAATTCTCAACTCAGAACCAGTATTCTGTGGTAATTCTATTATCTCTGTTTGTGTAATCTTCCACTCAGACCAAAGGAAATTTGGAACTGAAAGCTCTAAGTTTCGGCACTGGATTTACATGCCAGCATTAGAGAACATAATAGGTGTGCTGTTGATTTTTGCTTGGGTTTTAAAGGTTCACTGTTGCCTTCTGAGCTAATTTCCCAATTTTAATGTACTTTTTCCTGCTTTTATCTGTTTAAAGTCTAGGCCAAAACAACTCAATGATACTGACCTAGTTTACTATTTTTCAACTCATCTGCCCAATGTAATGTTTAATGTCTTGGAAATAAATTTCAGTGCAACTTCTGAATTATGTTCCATGGTTTTATTTAGGTTAAATACTTTCAACATAAAAAAATTCTGTTTGAAAAAAGGTTTAGATAAAATTGAAAAAATCTATGGTAAAAATAATACTGGGAAATAGAGTATTTCTATTGCTGAAAAACAGAAAAACCTTAAGCTTTTTATTTCTTTGCAAGTACAACTTCCAGTTTTTCACCAGGTGTAGGTCTAGCTCACTTATACAATCAAACTAAAATAAAAATAGGAGGAAAATTATCAATCTTACCACATAGATTTAATCAGCCCCTAACAAAACAATGTGTGTTCATTTAAATATATTTTTTTTTTGCCTGATAGTTCAACAGTCCTTTTTTCAGACACCTGGAAGAAACAGCATCACACCGGGAAGCAAACAACACAAATACAGCTGATCTACTTGTATTATTTTACATTTTGTCTGTCAAAGACATTTCTAAATTTACACTAAATCCCCACTGAGCTTTCTGGCTCCTGTATCTATTCTCTGAACAGCACAATTTGGGGACCCATTGATGTTGATGTTCCAGCAAAGGGTAAATCTTATCAGACCCAGGTTTACATTACCATGTGATGTTCTGACTCGGTCTTGTGCATAGCAGTCTTTTTTTCCCCCTCTAAAAACTCCTTTTTTTTTCTACCATCACATCTTAGGCCATGCAGTCTTATCTGACACTCTGTAATTAGGATCTGTGCTGATGAAGATTTGCACCTCTCCAGGTACCCCCTCCTAACTCTGGGAAGAGCTTAGTATCAGAGCAGAGGTTTGCCAATGTGCCTCTGATCCAGGGATGAACCCAGGGATGTCAGCAGGGCAGACTGATCAGACAGTGCTGTGACTGTGTGGGAATTGGGTGGGACAGCTGGGCACCTGCACTTTACCCTGCTGAACAGAACCACTGGCCTGCCTGTCTTTGTTCCGTGCGAAATAGCTTTGTTTGGTATCTGTTCAATGTATCTTTCCAAAATCCTCTTTCATATCTGGCAGTTCCGATCAAGAAAAAACAAAGAAAACCTGAGTCAGAAGAGAAAGGCACGTAGAGAGAGAGACTGCAGTTTTAAACTTAACAGTTTTACTTGTGTGTAGGTGTGTGTCTACACATATTCTCAGGGGCATTGGATTTCTCACACAGCTTTGTCATGGCACAGACACATTAAACATCACAGGCTCAAGACATTGGGCTTGCTGGGACTACAGATAGCCCCAGTCTTGTAGAATTTGACATGTACAGACATGTTACTAGTTAAGGTAACTTATGAACATAATTAACACAATGTTTCCTTCTTCAAAAATAATGAAAAATAGAATGAAATCTGACTAAGGGGAGGGGAAAACAAAGAAATAAAGAGAAATGTTTTCCTGAGAGTACAGGAAGGTTAGAAGATAATGTAATGCTATTAATATCCATGAAGCTCTTTGAAGAAGTGGTTACAAAAAGGGATTTAAAAGCAACTGGAAAGGACACATGGATGCTGTGGGCAAGAGAAAGTTTTAGGCTTGTGAGACAGCATAAAAGTGGATTTGTTGACTGGCAAATACACAAAAGTTAAAGTTTATGATGGAGATTACCTAAACTTAAAGAAATTGGAGGCCAATGATGAGAAAAATAGATAGTGCCCAGGTCTCTTGACAAATAAGTATCCTCCATCTTTCCTCCAGACACTATCATTACTACTTAGACTGAAAAATCAAACAAAATCTATGTTTTCTTTTATTAGCCTCAGGCTGACTGATGTTTGCAGCTTCAAAGTATACCCTAGAAATGTTAAAGCTATTTTTACAAGCTCAATGACTTCCTGGAACAAATTTTTGGACAGCTTTTAGACTGCCTTTCATGCAGTTTGAAGTACTCTGTAATATCACTTTGTACCTCATTTTTATAATGTCAAAATTACTGAATGTCATCTGCCTCTTACACTGGATGCAGCTGAATCCATTAGACAACTCTTTCCCTATAATTAAAATGTAAATGTGGTACATGAAGCTTACTCAGAACCACTTTACATGGGAAAAGCTCAAAAATCCAACAGCTAGATCAATACAGAACAATTCATAGTAAAATTGCTTATTGAGCCATATTCTATAATACAAATGGCCATCTTCTTTCCAAAGACTTCATCAGATACAGAAACATGCTACATATGTAGTTTACTTCCAGACTATTAATTTCTGCTTGTCTCAAAACCATGTCCCTTCAACTAAAAGGTTTATAATTTAGAAACAGTATTCTGTCTTTTTATTGATTTTTTTTTTACTTTTCACTTGGAAATGAAGAAAAGCTGAGCATAGATAACTTACCATTAGAACGATCATGGTAAGCCCTGCTAAAAGTATTAAATTCCTAGAGTTTTTTAAGAGATGGGCCAAAAGATAAGCCAGAGTCAAGCCAGTTTCCCAGTAGCTCCTCCACTGCTCCTTGGTTGTGTATTAGTTTGACTTTTCTACAGTAAGCTGTCACTGTCCCAGACCACTGCCATGTATCAGCATGCCATACTCTCATCAGGAATGTGTATGGCTTGTTCTGTTCCTCTCTATCACCCCACATATATTCACATAAGAAAGATGAGCTCATTCATAAAATAGGATCCATGGAGCAGCTGAGCCTAGCAATGTCAGTACATAAGCTAAGCCTTACAAGACAGCGACAAGGTGATGCTAAAGTCCTAAACTGAGAAAGAAACATAAGTAGAACTTCCTAATAAAACTTTCTTCTTATACTAGCTTCAAGCCATTCTAATGCTTCCTACGAGTTTGTTATGATCACAAAAAGAAGGGAGTGATACAACCTTCTTTTAAACCGCAGAAAACATGTTGCTTCATTTTGGTGAGCTATTTATCAGAGCTATTGCAATTCAGTGTTAGGCAGCACAATATGAAAAAGAATGTAGATTAAAACCTAAAGGCATTTGCTGTCTTCATTTTCAGTATGATTTTAGAGAATCATTTCATAATTTCAGAGAATCCTTCCAGTCCCACCTAACTAAACAACAGCAATTCGGACTGTCACCTTTTTGCTCACTTTGTACAAATCAGTTGTTCTAATGGAAAATTACAATACCTTTGAGTTCCCAATTTTTTCATCATGTGAAATGACCTGAGAGCAACTGACAAGAAGCAAAATTCATTTATCATAGCTTCAGCCATCTGTAACTAAAGTGAACTAAATTAACTGAATTAAACTATTTCCCTAGGCTGCCTGAAGGGAGGGCAATGCAATTCACCCTCAAATGGATGCTAAATGTGTAGATTCACAATTTTTAAAGAAACTCATCATTGATGAGCTTTAAACTATCATCCTTATCAGAATAGACTGCTCCTCTCCAGCCCCATGCCTGCCACTGCTTCTATCTTTTCTGCCAACAGTTATGCAGCTATACAGTCAACTTCATAGGCAAGCTAAATAGGTGAAAAATTAGCTGGCAAAGGTAAAAATGTTCATTTTACCACAGCTGAATTCTCCATGTGGCTGCACAAGGGGTCAGATTGCTTTGGTATGGTGGCAATGTAAGTTTATGCTCAAGTAAAGCTGTAACGTATCTAGAGAAGATGTGACTTGCTTTCCATTTCTCTCACTCTCTAGTGTGAACTGCTAGGAAATCAATTCAAAGAGATTCGACTAAATGCCATTTATACACAACTAAAGTAAAAGAAAATTACTAAGTCAGTTGTACTGCATGTCAGCCTGACTGTTGTACCACAGTGCAGTCCTAACTGAATTAAAATATTTAAGACAACAAATCAACATTTCTTAAAAACAAAGGACCAAAAGCAAAAGAAATATTTGTATGTAAAAACAGAAGAGTAATTTTTCTGTTTGTGAAAGACAAGGTCCCTCTCATGGTCAGACCATAACACACATCTAATCCATAAAATCAACATCTGCAAATCCTCTAGGTAAAAAACCAGGATTCACTTATTCACTTTTATCAGCTTCAAGCAGCATTTGCAATGTAGTTATCAAAATAAAAACCAAGCGTTTCATTACTTTTTCCAAATTAATATTTGCGCTGATTTTGAATGGGTACTTTCTTCATAGTACCTAGTATAGGGTTATTTTTGGGATTTATACTGACAAAGGTTTGTTAGGTCAGGGATGTCTTGGTTACTACTGAGCAGTACTTGCACAGAGCCAAGACCTTTCCTGTTTCTCAGCCCACCTCTCCAGCAAGAGGCTGGAGGTGCACAAGGAGCTGGGAGGAGACACAGCTGAGCCCAAATGAGATATTCCATTCTGTGTGGTATCACCCTCAGCATATATAGTGCTGGGGAAAGAAGGAGGAAGGAGGATGGCATTTGTCTTCCCAAATCACTCTTAGTGATGGAGCCCTGCTGAATCACTGAAGGGCTGAATATGTGCCTGGCCATGGGAAATGGTGAATGAATTCCTTGTTTTGCTCTGCTTGAGTGCATGGAGGTCACTTTCCCTATTAAACTGTCTTTATGTCAACCCACAAGTCTTCTCACTTTTACTCTTCCAACTCTCTCCCCCAAAATGGCTGCGGAAGAGTGAGTGAGTGGCTGTGAGGGACTGAGCTAACACCTGGGACTAAACCTCAACAGTCCTTCAAATATTCTGTGGTGCAGCAAAGCAGAAAAAAGAAAGTTTTTTAAAATGTCCTGTAATTGTATACGCCACTGTAAGCGCACAATTTATAAAAAGACTTTGATAAAGAGTTATTAAAATACTCCTCAAACCTCTGTCAGAACTGTTTAGCACTATTCCTGGTAGGTAATTAAATGATGCTAACATCTTTTAATGGATTTTTGGGAAGTAACTAGGAAATTAGAACAGAAGATTCACGTTAGCTCTGCTTTTCCTGGACTTCCATCTCCAGCAAACCTACATCTACACTGGTATTAGCAGACATGCAATGACCACGTTCAGATGTTATTATCAAACAATTTCTCTTATATAATTTATGGAACTAAATGGTTTCCTACCATTTGGAAGCTAATTTAACTTCATTTATTTTCTATTGACTATGTTTTCAACATTTCTCCTTCATTAATGTACAACACAAAATAACAACATGAAATCAAAATTCACCTTAGAACACAGCAGAAGTCATACATAATCTTGAAGTAGCAAAACAGGGATTCCTTAATAAATTCAACTGAGGTCTTTGTAAAAGGTCAAACCAGCTGCACTTCAGAAATGAAACTAATGAATTGCTAGAGAAAACACTGTATTAATAAAGACTTTTTCAATTTTTCCCTCTGTACTGGACTGCAAAGAGGTAGTGTGACAGCAGCAGTCCTTGCTACTCTGCAAAATGGGTTATTGCTCTATTAAAAATGGTGTGACCTCACATTCCTCAGAACACAAAAGATAATTCATCAATACTGAAAAACTCTTTTAAAGAATCTTTCCAAGGAATACTTGGAATTGCTGGGATAGTTTTAAAGGACACCAATGAATTACAGACAGTACTGTTCTTTGAGAATTTTATTAAATATCTGTAAACAACATAGTTTAAGTATAGACTCATAGGCAGATAAAAATGGGACCAAAACAAGGTAGCATGGAGTCTTTACATCCCATTTACAAATTTGCATTATGTTTTTTACATATACTGAATAAAAAGTTATCAGAGAACAGTACTGTCTGTAATTCATTAACATAACTTTGAAATATGCAAAGTAGGCTAGGAAGTTAATTATGTAGCATTTACGGTTGCTAAAGGTAAATTAATATCGACTAAATTAGCACAAACTTATCTTTGTGCTCCATTCTCATTTTGGTTGTTGAGAAGTCTTTAAAACACTTAAACTAGATTGACAAGTTGTACCTGCTATTTCCTTAAGTAGTGCTGTATGATCATTTTCTGCCAAATTCACAAATCCAACTTGATTTCTGAAGTGATCAATTCCTTGAAAAGACAAATCCACTCTTTTTCCTTTCAGGAGATCATCTACAAAAACTTTGCTGTCTGAAAGAGCACCAACTGCTCTGTTGAAAGAAAAGACCGATGTCAAATATATTTCTGCTGTTAATATTGCTATTAATCATTATATCAATAAATATAACAAAGATTTTTTAGTACCAATTTATTATCTACTGCAGTACTTTTGCACAAATTTCTATCAATACAATTGTTATTATTATTACCACCTTTTTATAAAGGTAAAGTGGTTCATACACTGTGCTATAAAGGCAGACTTAGCAGTGGGTTCAATTCCTAAAAGAGTTTATCTCAGTCCTCAAGGTATACAGACACTAACATGACAGTGTCCCTATTACTTTGTGAATCTCATTTAAAAAAGATGATTACTTAGAAGCATTTTGCTTTCCATCCTTAAATTAATTTTTTCCTGTCCTGATATGTCAATTGAACTAAGATTCTTCTTCAGTCAAAGTTACAACAGTGCTAGTTAAATTATAAGCAGATATGACATTACATATATAATGATAAAATTATATGGAAATTACAATTAAGCTCATGGAGAACTGTTATTAAAAGATGTATAATCTCAATTTACATTTACTTTCTGTAAGAGCTTAGAGACATGCACACTATAACTGCAATAACAGGGCAGAAACCTTTTAATAATCATCTTAATTAGCCACATCAAGTGCATGTAAAATTACATGAAATAATTGTTTTGACCTGCACTGAAAGTGATTTAAATTCTAAACAAAAATCATGTAAAAATTTTAGTGTTTTCTAAAAGATTTCTCACATTTCAGTTTTAATTCTATTCAATTAACTTGAATGTAATCTTTTCCCCAAATTGATGCAGATTTTATAAACGCTAGATGGCAGTAATAGGTTAGAAATGCTCAAAAGAGGTATGTTTACTTTTTCTGTCCTAGCTGGATGAAAGCAATCACCGATTTCGAGGGTAGGTTAAATTATTTCATTGAAGCCTTTACAATTCCAAGAATCTCTACACATTCTCACTGTGTTTAACAAGGTGGACTCGATGTGAACTGTGCTTAACTAGAACCTAGGGTAAGTTAAGAAACACATGAAGGTTGATCACATGACAGAATATCCTTCACTGATAGAGTCCTCTTGTAGTCTTTTCAGAGGGCTTTAATCTATAAGCTAGAAGTGCTTTAGCTCCTTTATAACCATTTTAAACACCAACGTTCCTTGTAAAAAATATTTTACTGTAAGTATAGTCTCTGTCACTTACCTACCCTCCTATCACTGTTAGACAAGCCTGTTCCTGTGTCTTCCTTACATGCTGTACTTCAAGACCTTTCAAAAACACCATCTAATATTGGTTCTGCCTGTCAGATTACTTCACATGTAAGCAGGCATAGATTTATTTACCAACATCAACCTAAAAATTGGTCCAAAACAAGTACAGATATTTCAAATACACTGAGTCAAATTAAGCTGAAGCTTGCAGAGGACTTTTAAGTATTGATTAATGAATGTATCTAAAATCCATCTCTGGAGTTTTTACATGTGAGAACTAGTCCAAAGAAAGTCCATGGAAAGCTCTATTCTTTAGCTGAACAAACATTTATATTTCCATACTGTAGGGTCTGCTGCAGAACTCACTGACCAGCCCAAGTCCACCCAATGAGTTCCATGAAAGGTCAATCCACACAGTGCACTGTGCTTTCAGTTTAGCACTGTGGCATTGAAGATCTAGTTCTACTCTTTACGATCTTGCAAACACTAAAATATGTAGAAAAATAGCTGTCATCTCACTCTGGCTATCTTGCCTTTTGTATTCTATCAACCACTTCATAACATCCAACAATTGCTTTGTAAGAATAATGCCCAAGGACAAACATTTCCACTGAGTCAATAGCTAAAAACACAACAGTGGTATTTTCTTGTTATTCCATATCAAATAGTATTTACAATGCCAACTGGTAATTATGCTCAGTGCAACTAATCCACAGAGATACCCAAAAAGTTTACAAGTACTTTGATCTAAAGTCAAAAAGGAAATAAAAAAAATAATTAAACAGCATATTCTAAGTGAACACAAGCTAGAATTATAGAAGCAATGCCTGTTCTCTTTCTGTATTGTTGTAACATAAATATTGTAGTCCTTAAAACTCACAGTTTCTTTTTAGAAATTACTGAGTTTCAATTTTGATCACTTGTTAGAAAAAGCAATCTCGCAAAAAAAGCCAAACTCAATTCTGCCATTCCTGTTACTTGTAATGCAAAGGTGAGATTCACAGAGTCTTTGACAGAAAATGAGCAAGAAAACCTTGACACTATAATCTCATAATTAGGCATTTACTGCAAAGGCAGGCATCCTGATTTCTAGCACCTGATCCCATGACTATGCACAGTTAGCATAGAGTAGAACTTCCTGGCTTGAAGGGAGTGCTGTCATGAGTCTTGATTGCTTGTTTTCTTTCTACTTTCAAAATTTCACACTCTTGATTTCATACAGTCCTACAAAAAGAGATGTATAGTGTATTCATGAAGGCCAGACCACAGTCAGTTAGGAAACTCACATGGGAATTGCAGGTCTGGATTCCCTTAGAAAGAGTGGCCTAGAATACAGATGTTCCATTTTCAGGGTGAAAGCTGTATGTACTAAAATAGCATACAAAGGGCTTTGTGCTGAATTGAATGTTATGTTTAGCACATTCTTATCACGCATTTGACTTCAAATAGCATTCAACACATTTCATTTCTGTATAGACAGAGGCACTATTGTGCAAACACAGTTGAAAAACTGTAGATATCTAAGTAACTCAATGGATCCAAACCTAAGGATCTGTGAACTCTCAGATGCCCCGTTGACTAGCTGCACTTTGTTTGAGAGATTACTCTCCCCCTACATTACACACAGGTTTGTTTGCCAGCCTGGATCTTGGTTTCTTTCCATTAACCTGGTGTCAAAAATTGGTGAAGCAAGAAGAAGGCAAATTCAGCATTTTACTCCCAGCAGATCTTCCAGAAGATTAAACAAAAACCATCAGTTATGAATTTTTATTTTTAAATCTCATTAAAAAGAACATGCAATCTAGAATACCTGAGGAGAGCTGAGCTAGAAACCTATAGGAGGCATCTGGCCAGGAAAGGGGTGAACCTCTGAGGAAGCTGCTGCTGACTAGAGGACAGTTCTGAGTGCCTGGACTGTAGAGTTCTGCTGGGAGAGGCAGAGAAGAACTCTGTAAGTCAGTGCTTCAGTGGCATTCAGACAGTGAAAGCTGAGAAGGGGCTCACAGAGTAGTAGAATATCCTGAATTGGAGAATATTTGTTTTGGTATACACTTTTGGACTCTTATAAAATACTCATGAAGAGGCACATGTGCTTTGAAGTACTATCCCATGCTCCCTTTTTTTAAAGTTTGCTTCAAACCCTTTAAAAAAAATCTCACATAAACAGCTGGTGGTTGCTCTCACGAATTTTCAGTTGCTATCACAGTTTACTCATTAACCAGGCACATGGAGAGGGGAGGGAATCTACCAGACCTAGTATCCCTTGCTTGCCTTTTTATTCTCTGATCCTGGCTGTTTCTCTCCCCTTAGATCAGACTGTTGATGCTGACAAATTTGCAACTTCACAGTAGAAGACAGGTAGGAGTATAGAGATCTCAAGGAAATAGCATTCAAAGAAAACATGCATGGAAAAACAAGCTAACTGATTTAGATATACTGATCATTCATTATTTTTAGGTGTGTCATATGCTTTCAGCCAAAATACTTCTACTTATTAGAAGCATGCCCTTGACTACCAAATGGTTCCTGCATTCTACCTTGGATTTTCACTTTCTAATGAGCAATCTGCACTTCAACAGATTTTTAATTCCCCTGTCCCCTATATCAAAACATTATTTTAAAAGAATTCCTTAAGCAAACATGAGATCTATGTGTGCAAGTTCAGCACACAGTAGGAAAAACACAATGGAAATACTTTGTTCAGAGTTTATGACATATAAGTTATGAAAATGGCTAATATTAAGACTAGCATTTTAAAGACAAAATTAATTAAATGCTCAATAACCCTAGTAAATTAGGGTGGTGTATGGTAGAAAAAAGTGTCTGTTAACCCTGCTAGTCTCTTTATGAACACTTAATACTAGTATATACTCAACTAAGCAAAAATACTAGTATATACTTAATTTACACCAAATACCTACATGCTAATTTCTTCTTCACTGGATAAATGCATCACAAACATGGTGACATGCAATGAGCCAGAGCGAACCATTGCTTTGGAAAGCCTTTGATCCTTTTGTACTATTGCATTTTGGACAGCCTGAATACTGCCAGTAATCTGGGAAGAAAGACACAGAAATAACAGTTAGCCACTACAACAATTACTGTATCCCATCATGCAAGTGAACAAGAAAGCACTCAAACTAAAAACAAACATCCATGTAAAAACCATTCTAGCAAAAGAAAGTTTTATCTGCTGACAAAGCTGTGCTAATTGACCCGAGTGAACTCAAACTGGGTACAAATAGAGTGATTAATAAATCACTGGACACTCCCCATCACATCTTAATAGGAGCTTCCTTCCATAAGTATCATCAACTCCTGAAGCAGGTTAAGATCATCCAGTTTTACACTGCCAGTAATACCAACAAAAACCTTCTTCAAGGAATTACTCTGCCCACTCTGCTAAATGTCTATCTTGCTATGCGCAGGTAAGTGACTCAAGAAAACCTGATCTTTGCAGCACTGGGCACATACAAAACCAGAATATTTAGTAAATTATTTGTAGAGATATCTAATTTGCAATTCTGATTATATTGTCCAATAGACAGATATAACATATATACTCCCTTCAAATGTATTTAGACAAATTTCATTGCAACAAGTATAGAGTTCTAACTTCATCAGTCCTTCTCTTTAAAAACACTGGAATTACATTGTTTTAAATTTAAATTATTTATTTGGTTACACATGCTCTATAAATTGTATCCAAAATGTTTACTGTGCTTGATATTATGCTCATTGTATCGTAGCAATTTAAAAAACAAAACACCAAAAACCTGCAACAATTCTTGAGTATGTTAGTGAAAATTAGATCAAGTCAAATAAACCTGACCATCTGATAAAATGAATTACTTCTTAAAGCACAGTGAACAAAGACATTACAGACAAATCATCTCTGGTGTATAAAATCTAAAAGAAGAATGTTGAAAACTCCAATCTCATTTTTTTGTTGTTTACTTACTTGAAATTCAGTAGTGAACACTTCACAAATGTACTGTCAAGACTTGAGTTTCATAAGATAAGCACAAGTAGCTCTCAGGTATAAAAAAAGCATTGGCATATTTTGGTAGCTCTGTTAATCATAAGGAACATATAAATTTCCTGGGGGAAAAAACCACAATCTAATGGGAGTGTTCAGTATTTTTCTGACTGAATTTCTTAAGATGAGTTTTGCTATGCAGAAGTTTCACCTAATGAGCCATAGATATCTAGTAGTGTCATATAAATATAACTAAATCATAACTCAAATGAACTGATGGTAGCAAGGGTAGGGAGAAGGATGGAAGGTAAAAGGTACTTGCCAGAAAAGGGGATATGGCATTTACAAAACCAGAAGTGTCTTAAGTAGTGTAGGACATATGAAGAAAATTCCACCAACATTTTATCAGAAATCATGCTGTAATAAGACCATCTTCCTTCATATGTCAGCACTGATCTTATCCTGGATAAATAACAGTTTCATTGTCTCAGAGAGAGGAGGAATTTAATCCATATTTAAGCAAAGAACTGGTAAATGTGATCCCTGCTAATTACAATGTATTGACTGAATAATTATTTAGGTGTATAAGCTAAAGTAAAAAAAAAAAAAGAAACAAAACTCAAAAATTAAATGTGCCATACTAATTGCAATTCTATTAAATTTTCAACTATTGCTTCAAAATTTAATTTGCACCCATGACCTTGCAAAAGAAAAAAACATAAATGTAAGTGCACAAGCCCTTCAGAGTACAGAAGACAGATGTGGAACTGTGCTTTCACAGAAGGTAAAAGCATGCTAGCTCTGAAAGAGATCAATATTATTCAGCATTTAGTTTAGCAGCCAATACCCCACATCCCCATACCTCTATAGTTCCCTTCAGCAGTACTTCCATAAAAGCATGTTCTTTCAAGGCTCACTCTTTTATGCAAGCATCAATGATACAAAAACTGTAGGAAATTAATACCTCTGAGATGTCCATTTTTCTGTCCAAAACTGGACAACAGGTTGCAAACCCGAAAAACCCCAGTGGATGGGCTCATAGCTGTATAAACTCTATTAGGAAACCAAGCTAAAAACCTAACAAATGATACGGCTTTGGAACAAGATAAGTCCAAAGACAGGCAGTTATCAGTTCCAAAGAAAAGTTATTGCTGAATCTATCAAGAACGTATGAAAAATCCTGCCCTTCAGATACAGGTGAAATAAAAAGAAGGTTGAGCATATCCTCTCTCTCTGGCTAAATGACAATGCTCTACACAATCAACATTAATTGGAAAGGAAACAAAAAAGTTTTCAGCTAAGTTTTTCTGAATTTTAGAAACTTGTTTTTCAGATGTTTTCCCTGAAGTTATGCAATCAAAGCGTGACACAACAGCTGTTAAACAGGTGCGCCATCACAATGCATATCACAATTTCACATTTGTTCAGTTTTCTCCAATAAATCTAAGGTGCAATTAACATTGGAGTGTATTATTGTAATGAAGCAAACTAGGACTCTCCCAATGCTATATTACAGGCTTTGACCCACTGCATAAATAAAAACTTTGAATTGCTATTTAACCTGTTATTTACATTACCTTCAAACATGTTGTCTTACATTTCAACTGCCATCATGCTATTTATTTTTACTTGACATGTCCTAATTTAATCCAAAACCCTTTTTAAGGCAGATCACACTAAACAATTCCTCCCTCTGAATTTTTTTTTAAAAAAAGTTCAAAAAAGGCCTCAACTACTCATTTCAAGATCTCCTCTCCATTACTTGAAGTACATTATTCTGAGGAGCAACAGAATAACACTGTTTTGCAGTGTTTATTACAAGGATACTACTAGTAAGTAAATGTAAAGCTTTAAAGACCAAACAGATGAATAACAATTATAGTCAAGACTGGAGAACCCTGAAAGGCTAACATACCAAGCAATAGCATATCATGAAAGTCGTAACTTAAAAAAAAACCCTGAACAAATAGAAAAAGATACAAGGATCATAATCTATTTAACTATTTTTCCACAAGTAATAATGCAAAGTTCAATATACATTAAAAATTAATGGAAGAACACTTCATTTCTAAAGATTCAAAACAATTAAAATGAAAATAAGGAAACTGTTCATTTTCCAAGAGGAACAGCTGATTAAATGTTTCAGAAATATCCTTTATTACAAAATTTCCTCTGTGTAAAGCTTAAATTAATACAAATAAACAAATAAACAATACTTATGCTCAAAATACTCCACTAGAATAAAATAAGCTCTTCAAAAAATAAAGGTCTTTCATTACCAACTGAAATACTACTAGGCATTACCAGATTCACTCTGACTATCAAGAAACCAGGTGTCTAAATTTTGGTTGATATTGCCTATAAAAATTCCAATAGTGTATTTTCTACTTTCAGAACAACTCTACCTCTAAGGCAAGTATAAACAAAACTTTCTAGCAAAGTCCTGGAGTTCTCAAATGCTCTGAGATTAAATTTAAAGAGTTGTTTCTTTACCTCTGTAAATGATATGACTAAATAGTGACCTATAAAAAAAGATATGATTAAATAATGGCATATAAAAAACCAAGCAGAGTTAAGATCTTCCTAACCAACCCTTGGGCATAGTAACAATTGTCAGCAGGAATTCTCAATTACCTCAATTCTCAATTCTCAATTCTCAGAATATATAACCACTACATTATTCTTGCACTTGCTAAATCATGGAACCTGTTAAACAGATCTGGAAGATATCTTTAAAAAGGATTTCACAAAAGATATCCTACAATATTTGTAAAAGGCTATCCTGGATCTTACAAAACCAGCCTTTAAAATTTCTTCTTCACATATGTTTTGAAGAATCAAAGACTGCAGTGTCACTTTCAAATGTATTTTAGTCTCATTTCGTGTTTTCTTAATCTTATTTTACTTTTTCAGAGAACTGATAATGCAGATGTATTTAAGTTAAAATTAATTAATGAGTTTTAATATGAGTTAAAATTCATCTGAGATAGCTTCTGATATTAAAAGATCCCACAAACTAAATTTGCAAATGCTGTTAAACTGGTCGGTTCAACGTTTTAAACATAAGGCACCTACTTTCCTTGTTTCAGACACAAAAGATATCAAAGATGTACCAGAGACAACCTGCAGGATGTAAAAACTCATTTTCATTTACTGCCTAAATGAGACAACTCATGTAACTGCAAGGAAATACATTTTCTTAGAGCTCTTTGCATTTCCTGAATTTATCTGAACAACATCTCACTAAAACAACAGTTGTTTGAATTTTAAATAAGATGAACCATTTTACTGTAAAATGCTAAACTACAAACTGCCAAGTTAAAACAGTAGCAGATCCAAATATGAGTTTGTATCTATAAAGAAATCTAAAAATATTGCTAGAATTTTTCTCACTAAATTAAATAGGAATGTCTCCCTTCCTTATTCTACAAGAACAACAAAATAGGCAATACTAAACACTGCAGAGGGGAAATTTCAGCCAGCTTCAGGGAAATCCATAAGACTGACAAATTGAATAAAAATGTAAGTATTTTTCCTCCAGTCTTTTTTACAAAAGCAATTTTATTCACAAAAAAAATGTTACATAACATAGCATTACTCATTGAATAGACTGCTAATGTTTCTTTAAAACTACCTGAAAAAAATACTTTTTGGACAATATCAAACAATGTTCTTATAAACCCATGCAGCTGTTGAAGTAATTCTGGTTATACCAAATTAGTATAATAAAGAATATCACCTTTGGATTAGTAATTGGAAGAGAAATGAAATAATTTGGCTGACACTGTTTGTTCTTTTTCTTCTTTCTCTCAGTGCCTTCTTCAATTTCCCTTCCAGTAGTCCGCTTTCTTTTCTTCTTAATACTTAGTTCAGAAGTTGCAAGCACTGAAGAGAAAAAGAACAAAGTCACTTTCAGCACACAGACATTTAAACAAAGACACTCTTAATATCACAACAACAGGAGCTGGACTTGAGTCAACGGACTGGAGCATGTCTTCCCACTCACCTGCTCTGCCCATGCCCTGAACTGTCTCACTGGGATCCAACTCTGACCTGAATTAATGCAGCCATACATCTGAAATACCACACCTGAACTAACAGCCTACACGTCTAAGCCAGGTTTATAAGCTGCTAACACAGACAGACACATGGCTTCAAAACCAGTGAGCCTCCCTTAGCCAATGTATGCAGCAGGACAACAGGCCTGCAAATTGTCCACACTTGATCATGGACATGACTGTAGAGCAGAAGGGCCAATATTAAACTTCAAAAATCCCATGCATTCTGCATTTGGATATACAAAATGCAGCAATACATAGGATTATTAAAGCTAAAAGTTGTAGTAGACTAAGACTAATGAACCAATAGCACAGGAACCAAACCCAGCCCAGGAGAGAATATCATCCCAGCCAGATTTGCCATCTACCTCCTCCTTTCCCAGAGACACTTTCTGATATAAAGAAAGAAATGTGTGTGTCCTCAGTTATTTCTTCACACATAATCGTGTTTCTCTCAGCTCATCTCCTTGAGCCTTTACAGACCCTCTCCCACCACATGGCCTGATACATGCCCACAAGCTGACCAGGCTGCACACATCCACTGTCAGACTAAAAGTGTACCTCTAGCACCATGCTGGGAATACACATATTGAAGGACAGCTCACAAAACCCATCACCTGAGAAGCTCACATACAGTAATGTGAATTGACATACAAAATGTCTTTATTCTGTGACTCATTGCTCCACAGGATAACAAAAGGGTGAACTCTTAATATGCTCAAGTACTGCAGGACTGAATAGTAATAAGAGAGGCTCAGGACTGTAACCTGTTTTCAGGGAGACTGTTCCATGTGCATGACACAGGTATCCTTGCCAACAGGCAGGACCAAGAACTGAGTGCATGATGTGTCTATGCTTTCACATTTCTTCTGTTTAATGTACTTACTAGCATGTTCATCCTCAATATCTGTGTCCACAAATGGCATTTCTGCCATTAGAGAATCTACTGAATCAGCAGAACATGGCTCTTCACTCTGTTGTGTTTTTTCCATATTCTCTTTAAAGATTTTCTTTTGCTGTATATTTTCCAGCCCATCTGTAATATATTTAAAATAACACACTGGGTCTTAGTTTTTTATATAAACAGCTAAGAGACATTATACATAAGCAGCACAACAAGTAAACATTTCATTAATTATCAGCAAATAAATATTGACATATAACCCCGCAAGGATCCTGTTCTTCTTCTTTGTCAACAGATCAGTAAAAATTCTGTAATATTTTATGTGAAACAGCAAAAAATAGAGTTCTGCTTTCTATATTTTAATAACCTAGGGTCTTGTTTGGTTCCAAGTAAACGAAATTACTGCAAAAAAATACTGAGAACTGAGCATATAAAATAATACCCTTCAGACATCACATAAAGTTCATTTTAGATAACAGTAATGGCATATGAAATTCACTGCAGACAAACACTGGCAAATTAATTCTACTGTAAACACACTAAAAATGAGGCATGAAAAAACAGGAAGGGAATCCTATCATTCCACATATAACGGAGTTCTCAGCTGACTCTATCATTCAGGAATGAGATGATCACTCTATTCCTGCATCTCCCACTCAGTATAGAATGTTTTAGACAGCAATGATCTGAATTTCTCCTTCTAAAAACTGACTTTTAGTATTTAAGCTAAGGAAGGAAGTCAATGTAAATAAAAACACATCCTGCATGTACAAAGATATACATGAAGCTCTACCTCAGAATAATATCACAATCACAGAATATTTTAAGTGAGATGGGACAGAATAACGTCCACTAACAAGTTTTTGAAAAAGTCTTTTTCCCAAGAGTAACTAACTAACTGAGCATGAGTCATTTCGTTATGTCTGCTTCACGCTTCTGCATCAGTAAACTCTAATATTGGCATATTAAGTCATACCTTAAAAAAAATAAAGAAGAAGAAGCAAAATCTTCTCTAGCAGCAAAAAATGGGCATATAATCAGGCACCCAGCAATACTCTTTTGGGACAACTCCACAATGGGATTACTGTAGTGGAAGGAGCTGTGTGTTAGGATTGCAGTTTATCCCAGGACAGCTCATTACTACAGACAACACACTTTCAAAGCTCCTCTCAGGCCCAGTGAGGATGGCCCAAATCTGGCCTAAGAGGAAAATTCAGCAGCAAAAGTGTACACTATGTTCTTAAGGCATGCAAGGCTACACATGTATAAAATCGATATTACAGACCCAGTGTGGGTGAATATCACCCTGTGGAATGTTTCTTACACATATCACTTTATGCTAGGGAAGATAAATAAAAGAACAACCTGATTAAATGCTAATTCACTCCAGGCTAAAGTAGGGAAGCATAAATCACTCTGTGGTTGTAGTCTGACACCTAACTTTATTCCCCCACAGGCTATTCAAAGGAAACAAAGTATTTAGATTTGTTACTTGTTCCCTACAGACACTAAAGAACCATGCATAACAAACAGATGTTAAAGCAGTAATAAAATTATTACTTAACATTTAGATTAAAGCTCACACAAAACAGATTGTTTCTGGTATCCATGAGCATACAGAAAACAACCCTGGATCCAAAGAGATCTCAAAGTGAAGGACAAGACAGAGGTCCATGAAACTGACAAACAAGTAGATCAGACTGAGGCAGAAAACATCAAAATTCAGCAGTGCAGAATCATCAGCTGAGACCAAAAGGGGTTTGTTAAGGTAGCATCAGCTACAGAACAAGGACTCTCATAAATCTGAGGGGTGTATATTGCAGATTACAGGTTTCCTTTGCTCTGTCTGCTCAAAAAGCAACATACTTGTGCCACTTGGCAAAATGCAGCCTGTTCACAATAGTAAAGGCAGAGCTAAAGTAATTAACAATGCACCTTCAGTAAACTGAACTGTGTCTAAATTCTACAGGTTGTGCTTCTACCAAAAAAACACTCCCTTGCTTTTTTGAAAATACTAATTAAAGAAATCAGCAACAAAATTTAAGAGTTACATTCTAGTGACTAATACAACTTGAAAACAAGATTTTTCAAACTTCTTGACATAATGTTGATAATCTGAAACCTAGAGTACAAAACCAGCTTCCTGTAGGAACTCCTTAACCATCAAGCTGTTATAGGATACATTATTTTTTCTTAATCGCATGCTTAATTATATTTGCCCGAATTTCATATATGAGTAGGTGTATCCATTATTCCTTTATTTGTATTTAAGTGATTGCTGATCTTGAACACCATTTGTCATCTGTTCTAGCAGAAAAAAAAAATAATCATGATCCACATACCTCATAAAGGAGAGACCACAAAAATAAGGAGCAATAAAACAAATTTGATTGTGCTCTGATTGCCAGCTGCCTTCTCTACATAGTCAGATTATTGTTTCAGACAGAACGATCTGTTATTTGACTTATAAGTATCACAGATCATAGCGAGACCTGATCTTCAGGCACTATTCCCTGTTCACTATGTTTATGTTAATGTGTTTAATAGGTTTATAACAGAATCAATTAGGCTGGAAAAGACCTCTGAGATCATTGAGTCCAACTGATGACTGAACACCACATTGTCAACAAGGCCATGGCACTAAGTGCCATGTCCAGTCTTTCCCTAAACAGAACCAGAGACATGAATCCAGCATCCCTCTGGACAGCCTGTTCCAATACCTAATCACTTTTTCCATGAAGAATTCCATCCAAATCTCCAACATAAACCTCCCCATGTGCAGCTTAAGTCTGTGTCATCTTGTCCAGTTGCTGGTTGCCCAGGAGAAGAGGCCAATCCCCACCTGTGGAGGCTACAGTCTCTTTCCAGGTAGCTGTAGAGAGAGATAAGGTCCCCCTGAGCCTCTTACTCCAGGTTAAACACTCCCAGCTCCCTCAGCTACTCCTCATCAGACTTGTGCTCCAAACCCTTCACCAGCACCACTGCCCTTCTTTGAACATGCTCCAGCAACTCAATGTCCTTCCTGAAATGAGGGGCCCTGCACTGGACACAGGAGTTGAGACATGGCCTCATCAGTGCCAGAAACACTGGGACAGTCACTGCCCTGGTCCTGCCGGCCACACTATCAGGGATCCAGGCCAGGATGCCATTTGCCCCAGCTGGGCAAACTGCTGGCCTGTGTTTCATTGACTGTCAAACCAGTACCCCCAGTCCTTTTCCACTGGGCCACTTTCCAGCCACTCTGTGCCCAGCCTGTAGTGCTGCAGGGGATTGTTGTAGCCAAAGTGCAGGACCCAGACTTGGTCTTGCTGAACCTCATATCATTGAAATCAGCCCATTGATCCAGCCTGTCCAGAGCCTTCCTACCCTCTTGCAGATCAACACTCCAACCCAACTTGATCTTGTCTGTGAATTTGCTATTGAAAGACTTAATTCCCTCATCCAGATTATCAATAAAGATCTTGTACAGGACTGGACCAAACACTGATCCCTGGGGACACCACTAGTGACCAGCTGCCAGCTGCATGTGGCACCATTCACCACCTCTCACTAGGTGAGAGAAGAGTGCACCTGTCCAAGCCATGGGCTGAGAGGTTTGCCAGGAGTGTGCTGAGATGGTGTTGTAGACTTTGCTGAAGTCGAGGTAGACAACATTCACAGCCTTATTCTCACCCACCAGGTGCATCACCTGGGCATAAAAGGAGATCAGGTTGGTCAGGAAGTATCTGCCTTTCCTAAACTTGTGCTGGCTGAGTCTGATCCCTTGGTTGTCCTGCCTGTGCTGTATGATCACACTTAAGATGATCTGCTCTGTCACCTTGCTGGGCACTGTGGTCAGGCTGCCAGACCTGTAGCTCCCTAGATCATCCTTCCAGCATTTCTTGTAGATGGGCATCACACTGTCCAGCCTCCAATTGCCTGGGACCTCCCTGGTTAGCCATGACTGATGACAGATGGATAATGGAGAGCAGTGTAATGAGCTCTTCTGCCAGTTCCTCACCATCCTAGGATGGATCCCATCCAGATGCATGCACTTGTGGGCATCTAAGTGGTTGAAGTCCTGTTGATTACCCTGGTACTTTTCTCATCAACCTTGTCACTATTAACCTGGACAGTCAGCAGTGGGTAGAATTAGCTCAGGGATTCTCTTGGTAATATCCTTTACCTGGGCCACAGGAAGTCATCAGATTTTCCTGTGGAATGGGTCCAACCAGCATACAGGGCCCTCAATTTCCCTCAGATGCAAGTCACCCACTACAACTACCGTTGTTTTTCCCTTAATACATGTATTTGTGATCCACCTGGTTGACTTCATTAGTCCAGAACACCCTCCAGATATGACTTCTCCACTGTTGTCTGCCTGACTCTCCAGATCCAGGGCCTCCTACCTATTCTGTAAGGGCACCTGGGAAGGCAAAGGATGCCAGGAGTGGATTCTTCCATCTCTCCGAGCTGGGACCTTCTTCCATTCCTCCCCACCTGCCTGATGGCAAGAGGGTTGGGGCTCCTTGACTCTCGCTGAGCTTCCACCCACTACTTTCTATTCATATTTTTAATAACAAATGAATCCTTTAGAGCCAGTTCAACTGCGAGCTGCTGTAGAAATAGACAGTCTTAATGTCGACGCATTTTGATCCTCCAGTGCTGGCACTACAGTTACCATAGCTAAGGAAATAATAATAATAATAATAATAATAATAATAATAATAATAATTTCTTGTGGGAAAAAAATTGTAGGGTTAATATTCAGCCAGGTCACATACGCAGTTAAGGAACTAAAAAGAAAAGGAGTAGTAGTAAACTTAGGGGAAAGAAAGGTAGATTTAGTGTTCAGTCAGGTTGGATGCATACACTGTCGGCAAGCCTAGGGACTGAGCGGGGCAGACAGGGAAGTGCCACAGCCCTACAAACAAGAGCCCTGCTTCATCATTAACAACTTAATAATGAAGTTGAAAAGTTTTCCCGTACGCCCCGCACGCCCCAGCGCCCGCCCGCAGCCCCGGGGGAGGCGGGCGCGGGGTCTCGCTAGCGCCTGCCCTCGGCCCCCGCCCCGCCGCCTCTCACCGTGCTCCGGGGCCGCGCTCCGTACATCGACCCCGGCCCGCGCCGCTCCCTCCGCCGGCCGCAGCGCCATGGGCACGGCCCGCCGGGCGATCAGGGCTCGGGCCGCCGCCGAGCACAGCGCGGGGAGAAGCCGCCGCAGCAGCGGCCGCATGCCCGGCCGGGGCGAGCAGCGTTGCCCACCGGGAAGCTGCGGGTCCGGAGCGGGTCTGACGGAGCCGCCGCGCCCCTCGGAGAAGCAGCGGAGGAGCGGGGCCGTGCGGCCGTGGGACTACAGCTCCCGGCACGCTCCGCGGCGGCGATGGGGCGGCCGCACGGCCTCTCCCCCGGCGTGCGCTCCGCGGTGGCGGCGTGCGGCGGGGCCGCCCCTCACGGCGGGCGGCGGGGCCCGCAACCAGAGTGCCTCGGTTCCAGCGCCAGCGCTTTCACTCGGTATCTTAACGAGGAATGGCTGGCCCAGCGCTCGCCCCCGCGAGGGGCTGCAGCCAGCGGCATTTGGCGTCCCTCAAAATAAGCGGCTGTGGCTTAGGGCGGCAAAGCGATAATGAACAGTAATTTAGCAGCGGAGAATAGACAGTCTTGCTCTGAATGTGCTCTGCTTTACGCAGCCCCGGGCGCTCTGACCGCTGGCACTAATGGCTCTGTACAACTGTACAGCTCTGGCTGTACAGTCTCGTGTTGGGAATGCCTCGAGGGTGATAATTCATATAAAGACTAAAAATTTTGAGTTTACCTGAAGTTATCGAATAGACATTAAAATCTGGCTGGCAAAGAAAGATAAAAGGATGTAAAGGTATGCACACAGGATTATAAGAGTGGCTGGAGCTGGTGGAGAAACAGATAAAAAAAGGGCTGCGTATGGGAGAGGCCGCTTGTCTGGGGGAAGGAAGGGGAGACGGTCTTTTCCTGCTTAAATAAAACTTGGTGCCTCTCGGAAGCCAAATGGAGCCAGATCCTGTCAGGGCGTTGGGTGGGAGAAGCCAAGGGAGCAGGTGGAATGTGTGCACATAAAGATTCCTACTTTCATTTGTAAATAGAGTAGGGATGGTGTCATGACTCATCAATTGAGGGATGATATTAGTTGTAAGTTCTCATCAGGCTGAACTCGTGTTTTTAACTTTGGCAACCAGCCCACTGTTGAGCCTCGAGTTATTGGCTAACAAGCCCTTGAATTCTTACAATACATTTCCACAAATGTGGTGGCTAGCAGGTCCTTAATTTTATACCATACCCTTCCTTACATTCTCAACTTGCAAAACAAACTACTCAAAGGTGCTGGCCCAGAAGTCACAGCACAACTCCATGAGCTCCCTACACCCACAACAAAGTTCAGTATGGTAGAATATCCCTGGCTGTGTTTTGCCCAGGCAAAGCAAGGGGAGAAAGAAATAAAGAAAGGAAAGGGAGAGAGAGTACAAAGAATATCACAGATCCTCAGATCCTGCATTGGTCCTGCTGTGTTGGAGGGTCTGGAGCTGGGCTCATGAGAAAGAAAGTGAAAGAGAAGGAAAAGTGTGAGAGGGCCTGACCTGTTTTCTTTTATAGATAACCTGGTGCAAGCCTCTTGCATAAACCAGATCTTCTGCCCTGTTTTGTTGATGCATGCACAGCCAGCCCTTGGAACCCTCCCACAGGAGGTGAGTGGGGACAGGGACACTGAGCACAAGTGTCAAGGTAAAGCAGGAAGTTGGGTCAGAAGAGTTCCTGCCCCACCTGTACATCTTTAGATCACACCTTTTCCATTGTAGCAGTCACAATGTTTGAGACAAAAAATGCTTATGTCTGGTTCTCCATAGATGGCAAAAGCAAATAAATAAAATAGGATGGTTGGAGGAACAGCATGTCTGCTGGAGGTTAGAAGCTGGCTGAAAGAAGAGTGAAAAATGAGGCCAGTTCCTGTATTTGGCTACTACTTTTACCATTATTTTGATCCATTTTGAGCTGTGTTTGCCATTCACATAGAATTTGTATTTGATTTGCATAATTCTGTAGAGGCCAAAGGTTGGATGTGATGCAGAAGTCCAAGTTCTGTGGGATCCAAGAGGAGCTTTAGGATGAGGCTGCTGGCAGTTTTTGTTCACATTTCATTTAAATATCAGCTATCATTAGGAGACTAAATGCATAAGTGCTCTCGTCTTCCTAGCCAGTTTCCATTGTCAAGTACAGTACTTCCATAAAACTTTGATTCTAGAGAGCTATAGATCAAACACTGGAAGAAAATATTTTTGGAATGAAGTGCTTTTTATAGATGTGAATTTAAAAAGCAATTTGGATCTGAAACTGCTCCAAATAAATTCCTTAAGTTTTTTGCAGAAATCTTCAGCGAAAAAACTTCAGGAAAAAACAGTTCTGTTTGTAAAATTGACCGGGGAGTCCAGTGCAGTATTTAAATTAAGATGGCATTTAATAGTGCTCTTAACAAATGAAAATGCAGTGCATTTTATGGAGCTAAAATTGTCTGTAACCAGTACCCGCTAGCCTGGCATTAAAATTATAGATGCCTGTAGGTGTATTCTTTGGTCACAGGACTTGCCTGAATATACTACCTCCAGGATGAGAGGAAGTGAGAAATCAAAAGTACCTCAGCTAGAGCTGGTAGCAGTTCCCATGAATTGTCCCTGCAAGTCACAGAAGTGCTGTTGGAGGGAAGCGCTCAGTTGAGGACTAGAAAGATGAAGTAACAAGTTGTCATTTTCTGCCTGCCCAAATACTGCACAAGTTTCACAGAGGTCACTGACCTGGTGCCTGGCAGAAACTGCTTTTTGTTACTGCTTAGAGTTGGGCTAAAGCCAGCACTTTATCAATTTTCTGTGGCCTTGCCTTTATTAAAGAAAGTTTCTGATTAACCTCTCAGTAGTACAGTTGTCCCTTCAAAGGAAAAAAACCCAACACATTATGACAGCTGAGTGACGCTGGCAGAAAGAGGAAGCAGGGTCAGCTCTGTGGTTGTATTTGCTTTCACAACTGCACTGCCAATGCCTGTTAGCCTCTCACCTACCTTTCCTTCTCTTAATCCACCCACCAATTTCAGGCAAATTCTGTAGAGTGTTAGAGCATTTGGGGGTATGATATTCCCACACCTTTCCTGGTAGTGGAAGTTTTGGGAGGAAAGAAAGATCCATTTCACTCCCAAATGAGGAACAGAAGAAACAGTGCTGTGGGTCTGTTTTTCCAAGAGTGGCTGTCCATGAGTATTGGCCAGCTCATAACACTAGGTCAGGGCACATATTATCAATACATATTATGTCTTATCTTCGTCAAGCAAGAGATACGGGGGAGCTGTGAGCCAGGAGTGTTTGGGACGTGACTCACTGAGGGAAGTTAGGTAGTAAAAAGGCAGGAACGGGATGTGTTGCAGGGAGCCTAGAGGAGACACTGGGATGTTGTGTAGGACATGGGAGGGAGTTGAAGGTATTGTAATGAGAGGGCATGGAAGCTGTAAGGGAAGCTTGGGTTGTTGTGATAAGAAGGGAGGACATAACTGATTCAAAACAAGTTTTCATTACTGTCACTGTTTTGCAGCATCTTGTTTTCTGACAAGCTGTGACCTGATAGTAAGAATAGATTTGCCAGAGAAACAAAGAAAACTTTGAGCTGCAGTACTACAGATGATGGTAGATGAGAGGTAGAGGAGTGCCTAGGCTAAGGTAATTTAATGCAAAGGTCAAAAAGCAAGCTGTCTGGAGTCTCTACAATAACTGATATAAAAGGAAGAAGTGCATGAAGATGCTATCAGATGTAGTTAATAAATAGAACTGCATTTGATTGACATCTGACATGAAAATATAAATGGATATTTTCATGGTCTGTTGATCACAGGCAGTTCATTTACATTTCAGGAGGAGGAAACAGAACAGCAGAAGGCAGCTGAAAAATTAACTGCTTACCAATTGCAGCAGCTGTTCACCTGTTACCCTCTGGATAGCGACCTATTGTGAGGGATGTGGGCTAAAGATCAGCATAGACAAATAAATGCTGTTAATGTCAATGTAATATTTCACACACTTCCAGGTTCCTCCAGGATTTTTGAGGAATGTCATCTGTTGGGTGGAGAGAGGATTCACCTAACAAAGTGGGTCAATAATACTTTTGCCAACTGGCTTGCCACCCTCATAAGGATGGCTTTAAACTAGGTTGTTGAAAGATGGAGAAGCAGTCCCATCAGACCTAAGCTGGAAGAGCTAAAAGCTGTTGTGCAGGCAGAGACGTAGTGGTAGATAATGGGAAAGCAGGTGCAGGATAGCATGATGGCAGAGATTGCCTAGCATTTAGGGGCACCCCAATAGGCTTGAAAAGTAGAACATTGGATGCTTACTACGTAAAATTCAACAAAGACAATTGTAAAACCTTGCATCTAGCACCTGATGGATTTTGGCAAAAACGGCTGGATGCACATCTGCTGTAACTTAATGGTCCGTGACATATTTGACCAACTTGGAGTTTTCACTGGTGTTATTGTTAGGTGTAATCTCTAGCCTGAACTCCTATAGTATTTGCTCCCTGAACATAGCACTTGTTAAAGCTAACTTATTGCTTTACCCCTTCACCTTGCAAATTGATCTCACTGGTTACTTTTAATATTTCCTCTTAGATACTTTAAGCAACAGACATAGAGTATGCTTTCCCGATCTATGCTTTCCCTCATCTAATCTTCCTTTCACTTTTCAACACAGAAAATCCACCAGAAATCATGTAAATCCTCATTTTGCATCAGAGTTACATCATCCTTTTCTAGTCAACAAAATCAGTCTTCCCTATGTTGCTCCACCGTCAGGTTGAAAGAAGATATTACTTTCTTTAGCACAAATTCCATCACTGTGATATATGTCACTACATTTTCCAAAATGTAAGGTAATTAGAATACAAATAATATAATGGAATATCTCTAGTAGTTTATATTTTGTAATGTGAGTAGGTAGGTTTCTGTTTACTAAATATTTATATACATGCCAACAAGACTATAAAATAGAAAATAACTTGAAGTGATTTTGATTACCACAATCTTGTTTTTCTGATTCTTGACAAATATAATGTGGATTTAAGCAAAAAGTTGCCTGTCCTGGAG